GCTTAATGAATGATCAAAATAATTGTTTAGCTTGGATATAAGGCCCTAGGTAAACAGATGATTGCCCAGACAGGGGGGCCAGGAAGAACAGCTCTACCAGGACACCACTTATTCTGTCCTGAGGGCAAAAGCCCAGTGGCCTTAGATTGCCTGAGGGCTTCCTCACTCAGTTTTTTTTTTTTTCTCTTCTCACCAGCATATTGAAGTGATTCAGCATCAGAGGGCCTCTTGGAAGCAGGAAGAAAGAAAGATAACTTTCCATATAGATAAATATATGCTTTAAATGTCCAGTTTGTTTTTATTCCAATTCATGTTGAAGGCTTTCTAAGATATGTGCTGCCTCTTGCCTTCCTAGTGTTTTCAACATGGCTTAATTCTATTCAAATACAATCACTTACTACTTCTAAAGGCTGTCAAGAGGTTTAGGAGTCATCAGGTCCTCTGACTGTAACTGCAGCTGTACACAACATAAGCCCAGAAACTGACTCTGTCTGGTAGGTTACTGTTGGTCATCATTCTTGTTGATGATTTCTATTCTGTTTTGTATTTAGGTGTCTTCCATAGAAACTTTTTTCTGTTGTCTCTTTCCCTAAAGTTGGGAAGTCCATCATGAAAATTCTGCTTACCTGAGAACTCACATAAGTTTGTTACAAACCCCATCAGTGCTGCTGAGTGATATTTCTAGTAATAGTTTTCCATCCCAGACTTGAAAGGAATCGATATCCTGTTGACCCGGAGCAGAAGAAGTTAGTGTCTTATTCCAACTGCCATTCTCACTGAAATTCTCTTTGAATAAACATCTATTTGACTAAATCCTGGACTTGACGAGGTGATAGATTCCCCTGTATTCAGTCTGCAGGAGTTATGATGGCTATGTACCTGATTCATCATCATATAGGAATCAGGACATACATTAGGCAAGGAAAGGATAGTGTTTAATAGTTTGTGCAGTTTTCAATACAGATAATATATGAAAGATGTCAAGAACATGGACTCAAAGTCAGCTCTGAGTTTAAGCGCAAATTCTTACAACCTGTATTAAGTTTGGACACATCAATTTTCCACTGACCTTCATTTCCACAGCCACAAAACGTTCTAATGACAACAATAATAATGATGATGATGATGAATAATACCTACCTCAAATTGTTGAATTGATAATAATTGATAATGACACAGTGCATACAAAATGCTCAGCCCAGCCTACATAGCCAATAAATGTTGGCCATATTATTTTCACATATCATAATGTCCCCACAATAAATCTTGTAAAGGGGAGCCAAGTTCCCGTAATTCTGTAAGTTCCATGTTATAAAACTGGATTTCAAAAGTAATTATAGACTTATCTGGTGTACATCACTATTCCAACATGCTGGTCCTACCAATACAGGAATCCCCTAATTCCTAGTGTGTGTCCCCTTTATATCTGCTATGCAGTGCTCTCCCCCATTTCCTTAAATCTAAAGTCTTCCATGGCAGAGAGTCTCTGTACCTCACATCCATGGATGGGCAACAGAAATGAACCCTGTGCAAGGTTTTAAGACCAACATCAATGTCACACAGAAAATTTTCCTCAGAAAATTCTGAGAAAATGGTACCCTTATAGCTACAAATTAAAAAGCAATTCTTTGAATACTGAAAAAAAATATTAAGAGAGAAGTCAATTCAAATAGCAAGGCTAAAACCTCTGAAGAAAGCCCAAGGTATGACAATGCCCAAGGTCAGCAAAGCCACAGACCCAAACAGCTTCATAGGAACACCTACAGCCTCACCTGTTGTCCCAGGGTTATTATTGCTGCAGCGACACACCATGACCAAAATACAAGCTGAGGAGGAAATGGTTTATTTGGTTTATACTTCCATATCACTGCTCATCAGTGAAGGAAATCATGATAGGAAATCAAGCAGGGGAGGAACCTAGAGGGCAGGAGCTGATGCAGAGGCCATGGAGGGACTCTGCTTACTGGCTTGTTCCCCATGGCTTGCTCAGCCTGCTTTCTTATATATCCCAGGACCACCAGCCCAGGGATGGCACCACCCACAATGGGCTGAGCCCTCTTCCATTAACCACAAATTAAGAAAATACCTTACAGCTAGATCTTATTGAGGCATTTTCTCAATTGAGGTTCCTTCCTTTCAGATAACTCTAGTTTGTGTGTCAAGCTGACAGAAGACTAGCCAACACACCTATGCATGGATTTTTTAAATTAAAATATAATTATGTCATTTTCCTCTTTGCATTTCCTTCCTCCAACTCTTCCCATGCACCTTGTCTTGTTCTGTCTCGAGTTTTCTATTTCTAGGTTCAGCCCTTGTCACATTTCCTCTAATTGGTTAGAGAAGGCTCTTAACTATTTTCCGTAGCTTTAGCATTCACACACACACACACACACACACACACACACACACACACACACACACACACGCACGTGTGCGCGCGCGCACACGCGCGCGCACATACACACTCCTAAATCTATAAATACAACTTTCATAGTCCACATAATGCTGCTTGTATGTATGATCTCAGGACTGATTTCTGGGTATTGGAGAACCAATTCACTGGCTCTCCCCTGGGGAAGATGATTTCTTCTCTCTCAACATTCCTTAGTTGCTTGTAGTTCTTTGTCTAGTGTTGAGGCCTGAGAAGATATCCCCCTTCTGTGTATGAGCATGCCTATTTGTGTCGTCCCTGTTCAGGCCTTGTTTAGGCGGCCATGTTGATAAGACTTCTGGGTGTAGGTTCTCCGACATTTTTAGGAGATGAAATCTCACTGCAAGTTCTTGTTCTTCTGGCTCTTACAATCTTTCCACCTCTTCTTCTGCAATGATCCCCAAGCCCTCCTAGTTGCAACAGATATATCAGTTAGGTTGATGACCACATGGTCACTTGTTCTCTGCATTTTGATTGATTGTGGTTTAGATTTCTAAAGAACATGTCTGTCACACATAATTACAAGTTATAAATTCATTTAATTAGCACTGAATGAGTTTGTGATACTCATGCTAACTTTTTCTGAGTGGCTATCCATAACCTTTCTCCCCTGAGCCATTTTATTCTCACTTACAAAATAAGGACTGTAATATTATTTCTCCTCGCTAGGCTATGATAGTCACCCAGTGAAAGACGCATGACAAGAGTTTGTGAAATCAGAAGTGTTACAAATGTAGGTGTTCAAGATAATACATGGTAGAAGAAAACATTTACTTCTGAGTGGCTTTTGTTCAGCTATTTTGTGTGTGTGTGTGTGTGTGTGTGTGTGTGTGTGTGTGTGTTGTCACAGAGGTATTGCTACATAAGCGAGACTACCTTGGAAGCTGTGATCCTCCTTTCTTCAGCCTCCTGGATATTGGGGTGACATAGGCATGCACCACTGCGCTCAACAGATAACACTCGTGTTTTACTTAATTTCTCATCTCTTCCTTCATCTTTTGACTTTCCTTTATCTGTTTTGAAAATTAACATATTGTTTTATAGTCCTTCAGCTGTAAGAATCTCCAACACCAAAGCACAGTGAAATACAAGATTATACAAAGCGGGACACATAAGGCGCTAACATAAAGTACAAAGCAGAGAACATTCCAAGAGCACATGCCTGTGTTTTACAACCCCAACTTCCTCCTGTAGGGGAATCTTCACTTTCTCAGTTGCAGGGGTAGTAGTGGGTGGAGCTCTCACTTAGGTCTGGCTAACCTCAAAGATTAGAGAGTTAAGAGGACTGTCCATCCTCTCTGTTCCCCGGGCTAAGGCTCCTGTGAAGTCTGGGAAAAGTGGCTTATGGGAAGTGTCCCATTGTTCCTGGCATTGATCTTCTAGAGCAGTGGTTCCTAACCTTCCTAATGTTGCAATCCTTTAATACAGTTCCTCATGTTATGGTGACCCCCAACCATAAGATTATTCCCCTGCTACTTCATAACTGTAATTTTGCCACTGTTATGAATCATGATGTAAATATCTGTGTTTTCTGATGGTCCAAAGAGTTCACAACCCACAGACTGAGAATCATTGTTCTAGAACCTTCCCTGACTCAGTTCTTCTGGAAATACATTCCTGATCATGCATTTCTGCATCTCCTTGGAGTCCACATGATTATGAAAGAATTGCTGGAACAATCACTTAGTGTCTACCAAGTACTAGACAGTACACAAAGTTTGATGGAGAAATGCAGATAACATAAGGTGCATGGGCCCTGCTTTGCAGGAGTCTGGAAGAAGGCAGGCCAACAGCCACTGCCAAGTAGCCAGGGTTATTTTAGATACTCAGTCAGATGCACTTGAAAGCACATCCTTTTCATTTGACAGGACACCTGAAGCAGAGAGAAATATGCTTCCCAAGATAACACAGGTAACAAGTATCCAAACTAGGTTTCTCCAAACTAGGTTTCTGCTTTCTTGCTTTACTCCCTGGGTTGAGAAGGCAGTACATACACAACGAAAAGAGAAATGAAGGCAGCCACTGGAGGAAGCTGAAAAGAGATAAGTATTGGAAACACTACAGACTACCATGAGAACAAGAGTAGGGAGGAGTCTAAAATACCTGTCGCAGAGCCGACAGGTTTTAATGTCCACCAATGGCACTAAGCTAGGGGCAAAGAAGGTGGACGCCATCAGAAAATAATACCCTGAGCAGTTATATCCATATCCACTAAGGGAGACACTACAACCCCAAAACACCATCCATCCTCCAGGTTCAGCTATTCCATCTCTCCAGTCCCAGAGAGCATAAAATGATGGTGGAAACTGGGTTGAAATTTTCACAGGCCAGGTAAATGCTATAGAGTGGTGGCTGATTCGGTGTAGTCTTGGCAGATTCATTACACTCGGCAGTAATTAAGCACCCCGTTCCCACCCAGCACTCTCTTCAGCGGGGTGAAAAGGGGTGGCTTTTCTCTTAACATCCTGTGTTGGTTCCGCTGACATAACTGGTTAGGAGGATTTGCTGAGGAAAAGTGAATATACTTGGCAACGTCTTCAAACATTTGTTTGGATCTTCTGTTTCCTAGGAGATGTCCGACTAAGGGGTCAGACCGGGGTTCCTGCCGAACGCCGCGGCTCCTATCCATTCATTGACTTCCGTCTACTTAACAGTGAGTAACCAAGTGTACCTGGAAAGGAGTAAATGTTTTCTTTGGGGTGGGGGACCCACCTCATTTCCCTTGAACTTGAAAACCTTGCAAGGTCTGCCTTCCTTCCTCTGCCTCTGTCCCCTCAAATGGAGCTTTAGACTTTGTCTCTCAAGTTCCTCACGCGGGAAGGAACGCTGAGAGCTGCCCAAGTCTCTCACACCAGCGTTGAAAACAAGCCTACAGCTTTTAATACCAGCACTGAGGAGGCAGAGACAGGAGGCTCCCTGTTCATTGAAGGCCAGCCTGGTTTACATAGTGAGCTCCAGGACAGCCAAGGCTATGTAGAAAGACCCTGTCTCAAAAAAAAAAAAAAAGAGAGAGAGAGGAAAAAGAAAAATTTAAAGAAAGAAAAAGAAACACAATCCTAGGCAGAGGCAGGCAGATCTCTGTGAGTTCGAGGCCAGCCTGGTCTCCAAAGCAAGTGCCAGGATAGACTCCAAAGCTACACAGAGAAACCCTGTCTCAAAAAAAACAAAAAAATAAAAAAAGTAAAGAAAGAAAGAAAGAAAGAAAGAAAGAAAGAAAGAAAGAAAGAAAGACAATCCTTCACAACTATGACCGCTACACAAGTGCTCTTTTGGTCTTCCAGCACATTCTCTCCACCTGAATCCTGGGCAAGGCTAGCGGAGATGCTATTTAGTTTTTTTGTTTTGTTTTGTTTTGTTTTTGTTGTTGTTTTTTAATTTCACAGGTAACTCTTGGAAAACCTTCTCCCATTACCAACTCTGTCTTCTTATTCTCCTGTAGACCCCATTTTTACTTCTCAGTGACCCTTCATTAAAGAGAAGGCCTCCCCATCCACACTGCTGCTTCCTTCCCTCTTGTGATGAACTTGGTAGCACATCCCTACTGCTCCTTCCATTGTTACTTAATCTTACATTCCTTAGGAAATTCTAACCAGTGACCAGTCATTTCTCCAGATTTCGTATCTTCTATCATGGTGATCTTTCACCTCAGACTTGTGGTGGATGGAAGGAGCCGCCAATAATAGATTTCACAATTCGCCCCAAGGTTTTTGCTATTTGGTTCTCACATCCCTACCCATCTATAAATTTCAAAGTGCTGGATGGCATCCACGGAGTATTACTTTCCTTTGACATAAACAAGCTCCACACAGGCGGTAATTTGATTTGCCTCAACCCCTGGAAATGACTAGGAAAATTTAGACTTTGCTATTTCTGATCCTTAGATTGGTGAAAGGGCAGTAGAAGATGGACATGTTTGCATTTCTCTTACCGTGGTTCTGTGCCTGTTTCTTCAGCTCTTCCCAGGGTGTAGAGACAGAATAACTTTTTCAATACTAAAAGCAAACACTTTTTAAAACTCAGCACTGTGCCACCTCTAGACCAATGCAACATTGAATACAAAATGTGGGAGTTAGACCAATGCAACATTGAATGCAACCTGTGAGAGTTAGACCAATTCAACACTGAATGCAGCCTGTGGAAACTAGGTCAATGCAACACTGAATGCAGCCTGTGGGAACTAGGTCAATGCAACACTGAATGCAGCCTGTGGGAACTAGGTCAATGCAACACTGAATGCAGCCTGTGAGAGCTAAACCAATGCAACACTGAATGCAGCCTGTGGGAACTAGGTCAATGCAACACTGAATGCAGCCTGTGGGAGCTCAGATAGCACCCCTGACCTCCTCTTGTGACCCCATACAGGCTGCCCTAATTCCCCAATGGAAGCTATACTGCTGGCAGTCTCCTGACTGTACAAATGTCTAAGTCACCAGGCAGAATGTCCACAAAGCAGGCATTATTCTTCTACACCAGAAGCAGGCATTATTCATCTACACCAGAATTCTCCAATGGAGACCCAGGGAGAAAATTACCAAAAAGCCTCTTTCCAACAATAGATAGATGTTATTTCATGGTTTCTAATATAATCGATGAACGAATGAGGAAACTAGGAGTTAGGTCTTTATTAAGCCAAGGTTCTAAATGATTCTTAATTCAACCCCAATGCTCCTGAGCATCACTGCTAATTGTGACTGTCTTTGTAGAGGAATATGAAATAGTGAACTGACCAAAGGTCTCTGCATATGAAAAACTGATTTTTATAAATCATTTGCTTTTCTTTTTAATCTGAAAAGTGTGGTGTGGTGTGGTGTTGTGTGTGTGTGTGTGTGTGTGTGTGTGTGTGTGTGTGTGTAGACTGCACATAGTCATCATTTCTATATGCCAGTCATATTTGAAAGAACATCTGTAAGTGACTGCCACCCTCTGACCCTCTGCAGGAGACCCTCAAGGAGCCACCTGGTGCCTGGGCCCTGATGCCTGTGACCTGCTGGTGCCCCCAGGTCCTTTCTGATCTCTCTGTTTCTCTGCACCAGTTACTCAGAACTAGCCACTCCTCTAGTAAAAATATTGGCCACCCACCCTGAAATTCCATTTCCATTCTCCTTAGGACTCTGTTCTAGACAATTCTTTCAATCCTTTCTCTTTTATATGATATACTGAGACAGTCCTAATTTCCCTTCACTATATTTGTTTTTTTAAGTGGCCTCAGTATCCTAGATGTATAAGATATGTCCCTAAATAAATTAAGAAGGTCCTAAACTCAACAACTCTTTATAGTTATTAGCTACTCAGTAACCACAAAGTTAACTTACCAATTACATTAAGTATTCCTCTGAAGAGGGCTGTATTAAATAGCCATAAATGCGAGACATCTCTACCTTTAACTGGGCATGGAGTGTCGGAAGAACTGAGAGGTTTGTACTTATTTGTGATGCAATCCACCCCTCTCTATAATGCCTGCATGCCAGGAGTCGGAGCATAAACCACAGCCATTGCTGTGATCCCTTTGTGGCTTCCAACCTTGGTAACCACACCAGTTTGTCGCTAGATAGGGACAGGTATATCAGCATCCCTGTAAGATCCAGTCACATAAAGTATATTATATGTATCTCATCTCTGCTCCTTTATAAAGTCTGCAGTTTATTTAATTCTCTTTCTTATGCCCTCCTTGAGGTCTGCCTGTGTAGTTAAAGATATTTTTTGTGCCTAAAGAGAAGCATCTTAGAACATTTTGAAAATTTCTCCTAAAACTTTGATTGTACCCACCAATTCTACACAAAAACTTCCAAATTGGTTTAACATATTCATTTGTAATATATGCTTTATATGCATTGCATGTATGTTTGCTCAGGTCCATGGGCTTTCCTCACTGTGTGTGTGTGTGTGTGTGTGTGTGTGTGTGTGTGTGTGTGTAGACTGGAGGTCAGTGTTGGGTGCCATTCTCAACTGCTCCCAACTCTGTTTTTTTAGGTAATGTCTCTCATTTATATTCCCCCCACCCCTCACTTACTAATTTGGGTGTCTAGTCAACAAGCCCTGGGAGCCCTCTTGTCTCTGCCTCTTCTGTGTTGGGATGATAGGAAGGCACTACTGTCCCTGGATTTTTTTAGGGATGCTGTGGATCATACTCAGGACCTAGCACTTGGAGGGGTAAAGATAGGCAGTTCTCTGTGAGTTCAAAGCCAGTCTGGTCTTCATAGGGAGTTCCAGGCCTGTGAGGAATACATAGTGAGAGCTTACTTCAAAAAAAAAAAAAAAATACAGAGTCCGCTTCTCGTGCGTACATGGCAAGCACTTCACTCACTGAACCATTTCCTCAGTCCCTTGCAATACTTATTTTGCTTCCATTTTTTTCTAAGAGAGATACAGACTCATCACCATTTTACTCAAATGATTGTAGTTTTGCTTTCTCTCCTGAGGTAGAATCTGACGTAAGGCTTAAAAATAAATCATTTAGAAATTTAAACTTAAAAACAAATTCATTGTAGGAAAAAAATCACTAAAATTCCTATTCCTATTCCTAGTTCCACACAACTGTCATTCCCTACCCACAATACTCCTGGCTGCTTCTCATTTACCACCTACTTCAATACCTGCCCTAAAACTCTGGCCTATGCATAAGGAGTAAGATGTGTATTGAATAGGAGGCCCATTGCACTTCCACATTGTTCATTAGTCACAGCTCCAACCTGTCATTGCAGACAGGGACATCAGAATTAATACCTACAATAAGTTGTCTTCCATCAGAATTTGTGGATGTATTTGTGGATGTTACAACAGATCACTAGGACAGAGGTGGTAAATGACAGCCCGTGCACCAAATCTGTCCCCTGCCTCTTTTGGTAAATACAGTCTTGCTGGAATGCTGTCATGCCATTTTCTGATAGGCCAACTAGGGCTGCTGTGGTACAAAATGGGTAGGGCAGCTATAGCAATGTCCAAGTGATCCACAAAGCCAAACTTACCAGCTGCCGGGTACTTGATAGGAACAAGTTACCACCCCTATTGTAGACACCTTTATGCAGATTTAGAAGGGTTTTATGACTTTGTGAACACATTCAGTCCAGGCCATTTTCCTTTGTTATTGTCATTTTCCTTCCACTTTTAAAAATCATTCTTTATTTTTAAGAACGAACTTAACATTGACTAAATTTACACACTCTAGTAGCAGAAAGAGAAAACAAACTTCCTTATTTATTTAGGTACAAAACTCTAATTGAAATAATTATTAATTATACACACATTCTTCTGGGGAAAAAATCTCTTTCCATGCAGAGGGAAGAAGTTACAGTGTTTCCTTATCCCCAATCCCATTGCCTACATAATAAGATGGTTAAACACCTGATTTGTCTCTCACTGTCCTAATTTTCAATTTTCTTTCTTTCTTTCTTTCTTTTTTTTTTTTTGGTCCAGTATCCTTAATAATTACAGTATCTTCCCTTTTCTGGTTTGAAGACTAAATTACAGACCAGTCAATTGTAAATGTTTGCCCACAAAAGAGTACTTGATACAATGCCACTCAAACAAGACATATAAGAATAAGTTCAAGGGATGACAAGCTGGCTCAGTGGATAGGAGCCCTGGCTGCTCTTCCAGAGAAGTGGGTTTGATTCCCAAGCACTCACCTGACGGCACATCACCCACAATCTGTGA